TAAAGATGCAAAATCTATAGATGAAAAGATGAAATAATGGCAACATAAATAATATTGTTTATGTTAAGTAGGCAACAGAAACATGTTCTTGAATCCCATTGATTTCTATCGGTAAAAACTAAAAATTGTGATACGATTTTGTTTACCTTATTCCATAATAATAAGAAGTATAATATGAAAATCACGATAAGATTTTGTTCTCCTTATTCCATAATAATGAGAATTATAATATGAATATTGCGATAAGATGTTGTTCACCTTATTCCATAATACTTAGAAGTATAATATGCGTTATTTTTTTTTTCCTCCCAGTTTTATGCAAAAGAGTTTATTACATACGAACCCTATATAAGTAAGAAAAATAGGGTATGCTCTTTTTATATGCGAATATTACATCCAAGGTCGGTAAACACAATTTGTTTTTATGAAATTACCCCTTTGGTCTGGCGATGTCTTTTTCGGACCGTATTTTAATTTGTTTTTTTGTTTTTTATTTAGTAGGGACGGTCGGAGGTTAGAATCTCTGAACCGATCATTCCCTTTCTTTTCAGAAAAAACAACATTCTGAGGTCCACATCCTCGGACTGCGGACTGCTTTTGAAAAAAATAGTGAACTGAAAATGAGAACCTCGGACCACTTGTTATCATTTGAAAAAAAAATAGCGGACCGAGAATCTTAACCTCAGACTGCTCCTCCTCTCCCCAATTAACTTTCCAAATTGTGTATTCTATCTAAAGTATTATTTATAACATGTCATTCCTCTTTGTATTCTTGTGTAGTTTGCAAGAAGTCCAACATTAACAGCCAATACGAGCTTTGAGTTACTGCAATCATGAATTGGGGGCTTCAAAATTAAGGCCAACTTATATTTCCTTTTGAAGGGGCCGAAAGAGTGTGCCCCATTTCATTTAAAGTGAGAAGAGAAATTGGGAACAGAAGGAGCGGTCTGAGGTTAGTTAACATTCTCGAACTGTTGTTCTTTTTCAAATGATAACAAGTGGTTTGAGGAGGTTTGCATTTTCGGATCGCTATTTTTTTCAAATAATAAGGAGCGGTAAAAGGATGGGGACCTCGGCCCACTGTTTTTTAAAAAAGAAAACAATTGATATGAGGATTCTAATCTCTGGCCGTTTTTTTTTTTTAAACAATAAGAAGCAATCCAAAGATGGGGACCTCATACCACTGTTTATCTTTTAAAAAAAATCCTTTCAAAAAAATAGAGAATGATCAGTCCGAGAATTCTAACCTCAAGCCGCTTCTATTGAATAAAAAACACAAAAGGAAAACTATAATGAGGACCTAAAAGTAATTTCATTAAAAAAAAAAAACGTTGTGCTAGCTGAACTTGAATATCATATTCGCATATAAGATGAGCATACTGTATTTTGCCTATAAAGTCCATATGTAATTAACTCATCAAAAAACTTATTTCTGTTATTTCAATTATGTTTCTTATTTTTGCAAGCTTTATTGCCCGCGCGAGTAGTATGTGAAACTGTAGGAAGAACTAAATCGAGACTTGATAAATCATTTAACTAGCGTATAAGTTCAAGAGTAAGAAAGAAACTTAAAAATCGCCTCAGGAACAAGAAAGACAACTTAATGAATATATATCGAGGTGGAAGGCATATATCATCTTTCATACATGTGCATGGATCAATGAACTTTGTGTCTTCATTTAGACATGCAAGGTCGTCTCCCCTGGGTTAGCATTTTGATCAACACTCACAGACACCACTGCATCGACTGCTTGCTTTGACTCGACAACCACCGTATTTCCCGACACGCTTGTGATTGCATTTGCAGTAAACCTCTTCAATCCTGATGCTCTGGCCTTTGTGTAGGACGAGTACTGGACAAGATTGATCCTTCCAGGAAATAGCAACAAAGGTGAGAAATCAGCGACCCACTTCTTCCCAACACCAGACACCACCATCTGACCCACAGTCCATATGAGGGACATCTTAATCACATTGTTGCGGTCGACCACCACCTGGTCCACCTCTGTAAATTTTGTTACCGTCTCATCAAGTTTCACGATTGGCACCCCCTGGCCATTCCCAGCAAACATGTTGTCCACAATGTTCACTCCATGCATCTTTCCACTCGCCGATTTTAGTACGATATTTCCATCCCCTAAGAAGAAACCATTAGTTACATGAAATTGCACCGGGTCCTCAGCTATAATACCGGTCCAATCCATGTACGAGTTCGAGATACGTGTCTGAGCCAGTCCTGCAAGCTTGACATATATGCCAACTCCTCCAAATCCAGTTGCTTTGTTATAACAATGTACCCCTGTGAGGATATTTGCAGGGCCCCGAAGAAGGACACCTATGGCCGCAGAGAAGACTGCAACATCTGTAACAATGTTGTCATTGCTAGCGAGGTTGATTGCGGTACCAGAGAAATTGCGCTCCCCAGGGTCACCACCCGCAGTAATGTGCTGCCCCACAAAGGAGTCAGTAATGAAGATCTCATGGCCGCCCTCTAAAAGGATGCCATCTGTCATAAAGTGGGCAAGGAAGACGTTGTCTATTCGCGTCCGGACCGAGTCGATAACCAAGATCCCCCCACCACGGAAGTTGGCATCGAACATGATGTCACACATTGTCACATCCTCGTAAAATGTGCCCTGCGCCTGCTGTGCCTTGATTTGGGCAAAAGGGTTTGAGGGTTTTTTAACAGAGGATGGAGACCACAACTCAATCAGGCGACGATCAGTAGGGAAATCGTCTGATGCTCTGAGTGAGCCACCATAAATCTGTATCGCTAACAAGTTTTTACATGTCAAAACTCAAAAGAATACAATAAAATAAACATGGGATTGTATACAAGGAGACCATTTATACAAGGAAACCATTTACTACTGTTACAGGGAGGTCACAACTATTTACAACCATCCAATGTGAAATCTGAATTGTTATAGGGAGGTCACAACTATTTACCACCATCCAATGTGAAATCTGATTGAGCGTGTCGCAAAGTTTGAAAAGAATTATTTTTGAACTTTAAGCTTAGACAATGAAATAAATACACCCACACAATTTCACATCCAATGATCATGATTAATTGTGATCACCTTATACTAAAGTTATCATTGGATTAATTGCGATCACCTTGTACTAAAGTTAATTGGTCTCATTATATACTTTTTCAATAAACATATAGTAAACAAAACAATTCAAAGCTAAGAAATGTCAGCAGTGGACGACGTTATATTGGTCATATCTAAGGGCCTCTTATTCACATGTTCAAATCATAAGCAACCAATTCAGACACAAAAGGGACAGAAAACTAACAAAAGATCCATTTATTTTTGTAAAAACTATGCAAAGGATTTGGGTCACCCATGCTTTTTTTATTTTTTCAAATTTGCGTCTCAGTCTAATGTTACTAATATTGGACCTTTTTACTCTATTCTGTTTTCTCCAATGGTAGGGTTGTGACTTAAATTTTAGGGCACTTTGGGACGGGCATCATGTCCTAATTATCGGACCGCATTAAAGATGGAACTGGTCGGATGTCATAGATATTAGGCCTGTAAATATATATTTTGGAACTTGTCCGTTGTCACAAATATTGAATCTGCCGATGAATGAAGTTCATGGTCTAACAATTAGGGTATCAAACAGGTCCCAAAGTGCCCTAAACAAAGGACACAACCCTACCATTTGAACGGTAAAAAAAAAAAGAAAAAAAAAAAAAAAGAAGT